TTTTTTTTTTTTTTTTTTTTTGACAAGCTGTCTTAGACACCATAAAGACTAAAGCTCAAAGAGAATTTTATAGTGCCCTACTTAAAGCAGCTACAGAGCTGCAGCTTTGCTATTTCCAGGGAAACAAAAACTAAGACAACACCTACCGGCAGCAACACCACTGAAGCACTGGGTGCCAGCTCTAGCTCCAATAGTTTCTTTCCATAATCTTCTTTGGTGAACTCCCTTCTGGGAAACATTGTTGCCAGTGAGAAATTGCCATAGGCATTGCCAACCGTCTGTGAAAATGTAAAGATCTTTAATTTATAACCGGTCACTTTCCAACAGTAATTTCAGATTTGCCACCCTGCCATATGGACCCAGGAGTTATAATACAAACCAACAAGCATCCTCACGAGGAGAAAGGTGCATTGCTCCCATTATCCTGCTCTCCTTTGCCCTAGCAACCCCATGCTGCTGTGGCACACGGCCACTGGAAAAGGSAGCTATCAAACCCTCCCTCAAATAAACACCGTGGAGAGCAGCTTGCCCCAATTCCACAACAATCAGCAGCCAGCGTGGCTGTAGCCAGGAGGCACTGGCAGAAAGGAATGGGACTTACCTGTGCAGCAAACTGCCTGGCTTCCTCCAGCCGCGCATCCGACGGRAACTGGTTAGTGAAGGAGGAGCCGTCGGGGAGGCGGAACTGAATCCTGGCCACGGCACTGCGGGAGGCAGCGCCAGGTCAGGCRGCGCACAGGCGCTCCCGGGATGCTCCCGCGCCCACCGCGCTGCCCTGGCGCTGCACTGTGGGGACCTCACCCCATTTAGGGCAGGTAAGCGGGGTTATAAATTGGGATCTACAGTTACTGACACGCATGTAACTCATACAGCTCGTGTCCGAGATTGTGTCTCCTTTGGATTTGATCAGAGCCCACCATTACGGAAATCAGRTGTTTTTATAAAAGTCACTTTGTAAAGTCTACGTGACGTCTTGTCTTCTCTCACCCCCAAACTACACACTGCTGCTCTGCCTAGAGCTACTCACCTCCGCTCCTTCTGACACGCTTCTTTTCTGGCCTCTATTTCAGCCTGTTTTGCCTGAAGAGCTGCAGCTTTCGCAGCTTCTGCTTCTTCCTTTGATTTTGCAAAGCGAGCTGCTCTCTCAGCACGGTCCTTGAAAAGCACCAAACATAAGCCTGAATTTTTACCATAAATTGTAGCTTAATATTCATTAAAACAGAAGGCCACAATCTGCAGGAAGCATCCAATTACACTGATATAAGTACAACATATGGAGAAAAAAAGATAAACGTTACAAAACAGAATTCACTGCCAAAATGCACAACCTCTTGTCACTAGCCAATACGACATTTGCTTTTCAATGAGTTGCTTCATCCAAACAGTTACTAAAGATGATCTTCCAATCCACTGTTTCATCCAAACAGTTACTAAAAGATGATCTTCCAATGGAAGTTTAGCATTAAGTTAAACATAGGTTTAGGATTTCTAGTGAAGAAAAATGGAAAAATCTTATTAGAAGTTACACTGCTGCAGTTCTAATCAACCAACATCAAAACCTAACAAGGACAAGAGATTTCAATTGTTATTAATTTCTTATATGCATATATATGCCTATGCAGGAGCTTCATTTTATTCATAGTATATGCTATTAACAGAAAAAGAAAAGCATAAATTGTTACAGTACAAGCTTATAGGATTYCAAGCAGAAAAAAAGGGAAATCCTTGAATGTTTCCCTGAATGAGAAAACTTTCTGCTTTTAGTATAGTGGTGGCCCTTGTGACAAAGAACTGAAGCAGGCTTTTTTTCGGAAATAAAGGCAATTACCAATGCAATCTGCTGCCTGATACGCTCTCTGGCTGCCTTCTCTTCTGCCTTTTCTCTGTTCCTTTCCTCTAACATTCGTTTGGTCAATTCTTCTTCCTGGCGTCGTTTGTACTCCAACATTTCTTTACCAGTTTTTCTCCGTTCTATTTCTTTCTTGATTTCTTTCTGAGCGAACAGAGACATGAAAAAATGGACCACCAAAGTGTTTTGGACAAGGACATTGTTCAAATAAGGATATCTAAAAAAACCCTGTAAGCTGCTATATATCTATGCGTTACCTGTTCTTCTTCTTTTCTTTTCTCTTCTCGTCTTTCTTCAAGTTTTTTGGTTATTCTAAATTTGCAAAGGAAATGAAAAATCTTTAAACTGTAGTGTCAGTTATTAACATTTTGAAAATCTACTAAACATTTGCAAACACAGAACAAAGGAACACATGAAAGTGAATCTTCAACAAACTGCTGCTACCTGGTGTAATGGTAAAAAGTCACCCACATGGGGCTCTGCTGTGTACAAGAACCACCCAGATTSACCTAGGTGATTAACCACCTACATTCCAGCCTCTAGTGATAAGTTTAATATATTTCTTCTATCCTTTTCTGCTCAGTGAAGGACGAACCACATATTCTCACTGCTGAATCAATTTAAGTCACACAAAACCAGGACTATTTATGAATCATGGTAAAAGAAACACTAAGTCTCAATCTGTTTGTCGTTATTTGAGCCATCTGCTACTGAGAACTAGTTTCTTCTGTACATCAGCTCCTAGTTTCTTCTGTACATCAGCTCCTAAAATGGAAAGCAAATAACATATAGCACTGACACGAATGCATGTAAATCAGTCTCATTCATCTAAAAAAGTACCTCAGAATAAGGACTGATAAAAAAAACATCAACTTATGGCAGATTCTGAACCTGGGATGGTGGCAAAGGGCAGGTACTATGGAATAATATGTCAGATAATMAAAAAAAAAAAGCCTTTGCTTGTATGGTGGCTTTTTTTTTTCCCTTTTTAACAGAAAAGCCTAATTCTCACACAGCTTTGCTTCTTCCTGAAAGAGATATCGGAGACATATGCAAATATGGTGCAAATACAGATTAAGATATATTTTAAAAAGAATTCTCAGTATTCATGATAGAAGAGTGACTGTTTTTTCTTATCATTACCATAAAGCAAAAATTACACTTACTATTTAACATCTTTGGAATAAAGCTGAGATTGTGTGGAAGTGTTATAGTAAGATAAATAATCCCATTTACTAAGTAGGGGACATTGTCTAGGCAGAATCAGTCCTTCTTATGCTAAGAAAAAGACTTTTTACAAGCTAAACCCAGTATTTGAAATCAATTTAATGCATGAACCACATACTGACCCAGATGCTTCTGGTCACTGTAACTTAAAATACTGCAACTAGCCTCTGTCATCAGATCAAAACAAAAGCAGAGGAGCCTCAAAATACAATTTTTCCTGCTTTTTGTGTATGTCTAAGCTACAGACAGCCATCAAGTAGAGATGAAAAATGGAAGTGACCCCTCTCTACATAACCACTTCACTACCCTCGTTTCAAATGCTTCCTGTTCCTCCTTATAACTCCTCAAAATTTCTGCAGCAAACACACCTGTTTGAATYCAAGTTATAATCAAGTGAGGAGATTAAACTGAAAGATTAGACTGACTTAAAACCTGTTTTTGTATCAGTCCTAGAAAGAAGAGACCACAGAAACGTTTGCCAGAGGAGGACAGGTTGAACACGAGGTATCTGTAATGCATCTGGCCTGCTYCCCCGTGTTGTCTCCCCACCAAAAGCAGTAACTGTCTCTTCAGAAAGGAGCAGGGACATCAGGAGGTCTAGGTGAGGACGTTTACCTTTCTACTTTGACTGTAAGATCATTCACAGGCTGAGCAGCACTCACTTGCCCATCCGAAGAATTACTTGCTTCCTGAGACTGGCTTGCTTGACCTGAATTTACTTCATCTTCAAGTGGTTTAGGAGAAAGTTATGCACAAAAGAAAAATGTAAGGCATTATTGAAAAAAAATTAGAAAGATCATTAGTAATAATTGGCAAAAATAACAGAAAGGATTTCTGAGAGATACAGGGTTCTGTTATTCAAATACTTGTGTATATTCAGCTTACTAATGAACAGAACCTTTCAAAATTGAATTAATGTAAACAAAAGTTATATAACTCTTACTGTATTATAAACCATATATTTCTCTAGCATTACAAGGAAGCCAAGAGACAAGTTATTCTTCCCTCTAGACTGCAAGAGGCCTTGCAGGATACCCAACCTTTTCCTCWACAAGCCCACTCAATACAGTTAGCTTTCATATAAGACAATGAAAAGGATTTCAACAGCAAATGAGCTGACATTTGTGTAAAACTACTAACCGTTAGCAGCAGAAGGTCTTATTGTCTCAGACACAGCAGGCTCGTGAGAATCACACAACTCTCCTGCCCTGGACTGAGTATTTTCTGGAGCACTGTCGGGCTGAAGAGAGGGACACGGAGCAGTTGACTGACCTCCATTTTCCAGAGGTTGCCTTTTTACTGTGTGCATCTACGAGCGGTTAAAAAATAACAAATATCAAGACTGAAATTTAGATTTTTTTCCTCCAATTCAAMGGTCTAGGCTACTAAACTACCTCCAGAGAATCAGTTAGTSCTATTTAAAATATAAGACTAAAATAATCACATGTTTTGGCATTTGACTCAATCATAAAACATTTAATGTTTTTTCCCCCAATTTCAGACTTAAAAACAGTGATGAAACTATCTACATTTACATTACATTGTGTAGTCTGTTTTTGTAAATATCCATTAAAAAACCCACAATATTACAAAGCTRCATATGAACTATACTTATGGAGTAACTGGTGTGTCATCTGGAGCCCTTGGCATATTTCCTCACATCAGCAGGTGTTACACAGATTATCTAATACCTCCCCACCCCCAGAAAAATCACTAGAACTTCTATATAGTGCTTGTAAACTTTCAAAATCTGTTTGCCTATTGCATTTGAGTTTGCAGATTTTGTTGCAGGAAGGACGTGGCCCGATAATTCATTCTTCCTCATACTTAAAGGCACAAGCTGAGAGCCAGGGACACCTCCAGTCCTGAGCGTGGAACATATCCATCTCCACCTGAAAGACCTGGTTCCTCTGCAGGCATTAGCTGCTTTACTTTCTGGATTGCAGGCATTACCTGTTTTACTTTTTGGATTCTGGTAACAAGTTCTTCAACAGAAACACTGCCAGCAATTACTTCCAAAGGGATCCCATTGTCTCCAATAAAGAAACTAGAGGGAATGCACACTACTGGATCTGCACAGGAACAGTAAAGGCTAACAAACRAGGCAGCTTAAAAGTACGCGGAAAAGCAGCATCAGACTAAATCATCTTCTCAATATTCTACATCCATCTAGTTGCCAGTATTAAGTGGCAAGAGARGAAGAAAAACAAACCCACCATGTGTGTGGGAAAGCTGCATACAATTGATTAGGACTTCTTCTTTGACATGGGATAAGCCAAAATATTTTCCCTCAACACACAAATACTGGACAACTGATTATGTTATGATTTGAAGGGTTCTGTTTTAGGGCGAGAAAACATTTTACACAAATAATAATGAGTACTTTACAGCACGAAAAAAAATCCAAGCTAATTCCCTACTGTGAAATCCARCTAATAATCTAAAGCTTTGGGATTWTTGAGTTTATGAGTGCTAGTTAGCAATACCAATTCATACTAGCAAACACCAAGGCTCAAATTAATGGATAATTGCATTTACACAAAGAACTGGGTGATCTTCTATTTGGAGGATTATATAGCATAAGGATTTGATGAACTTGTTCAGCTTTCACTAACAGACCATAAGCTGAGTACACAGATGGTACATTTTAACTATATCATTTAGTGTATATTTTTGTTCCATAAGAAGTATTTTCAACAATGCTGCTTTTAAGTATCTATCTTAAGAACACAATTAGGATGTAAAGAACAAATATCTGTGATTATAAAGTAGCACCTGAACTGACGTCAAAAGGATACAAATTTGAGAAAACTGCAGGCATGCTTCACTGTTTAAAATAAAACATATATTTATTTAGCAAGAGTAATCATTGTGCAACAACTCTCAAGCAAGTTTTTCAACATAAAAATAACTGTTCTACTACCACACACAGAACTATTTAAATACTTGAGAGAACACTGAAAGCAAACGTGCATTGCCCACTCCATTAGCATTTTCCAAAGTGTTGACACGGTGACAATTTCTGCTTGTCACAGCTGAYCAGAGGAGATTACTTGGGAAACAATGCTAAGAAGCTAATCAGGAAAAAACATCTAGTCTGCTGAATGCAAATAATAGGAAGTCTTTAAAAGTATCTATAAGGCATTTCAAACAATATGTTTGGAAATATTAATGCACTTGGACTGTAATATCTGCATATAGCAAGAGAGACTTATGGAGTAAGGAACCTCAGTGTTCGTGTACTCTGTGTGTTACAATACAGACAAGCACATACTTGGTGGGGCCTTAAAGGTTTTTATCTTTCTAAATTCACACAAGGTTTTGAAAGCAAGTTACGTAACTAAACAAATCAAGAATTGTCTTAAGAATGCACTGCGCTTTCAATCTTTTTTTTCTTGGCCTTTCTGCATCTTTTCCACGTTGAAAAAGAATAATCTCCATTCTTCTTACTGGCAGCAAAATGCATCACGAAGTGAGCAATGAATACTCTGMAGAAGTGACAGCAAATTTCTCCAGCTCTTGGAATTTTCTCAGTCTCTGAGGCTTCAGAAATAATGAAATAACTTACACAATGAATACTGAGAATACCTGCAGGCAGGTATTCCTCAGGACAAAGACTTCAAAAGCCCCATATTTTCATAATCAGAAAAAAAAAACCCATAAAAAAGCATGCAAAGGAGAATTTAGATAGGATCAAACCTTTTGGTGTCAATTTTAATAGCAACAAAACCCTCCGAAGCAGCTTCTGTCACCTTCTCATCTTCCCACCTTGCAGCCATCTCGGTGGATTGTTCATCCTCACCTGCAAGACACAGAGCACAAATGAAGTTAACAGATCACAAATGACCATCGCTGGCCTGATTTTARTTTTGTTTTGATGGCCTGGGATCAGTTTGGAAAGCAAATGTAGTAGTCTATAAATGCAGTTAATATCCTGAAAAACAGATATTGYGTAGAAGATTAGAATCCATCAATCAATCAATCAAACAAACAAAMAAGCAGGAAATCTCCAAGTGTATAATGATGTGTTCTGCTAACACATAAGACTTCATAATGAARCCATCGGTCCAAATTTTGGTGCTTTATTTGAAGAATATACAGAGCATCTCCTCTTTTCCTCTCCTCTTCTTAAGGSTGTGTTATATATATTTTAGAACACTGCTGAATGTTTTTCTTATTACTAAGCATTTCTTTAAAAATTGTACAATGTTCATGAAATATTTAATACGTAGCTATTTAAACACAAAATACTCAATACATCAATGTAAACACAAAATACTTAATACATCAATGTATTGCTCTCATTTAACATATTTTAAAAATTTCCAGACTTTCAAATGTATCTGTAAAACAAATACCTGTATTTAGTAGACTAGCCTTGATTATGACTTCCATTAAGTCTGTATTAATAAAGTTTCATTTCTCAACTATTTTTAAGACTGCCTTCATGATTTTTGACAAATCATGAAACACTTTGCCACTTCCTGACAATCTGAAAGTAACAAAGTCCAGCTGGTTCACCTTGAAAACATGCCAGCAACCTAAGAGACCAAAAAGCCTAACCAATAACCTTAACAGACCAAGAAGTCAGCAACTGACCCATCCACCCCAGTGGCAATGGCACCTCAAGAGATCCATTTTCATGTGACAAGAGCACGCTATGCCACAGTAGCTTGTTCCAGCAGAGCGACCCACTGCTTCTTCTTAACATTAAATTTGGCCTGCTAACATGCTGAAACTATTCACTGCTTTCTCTTCATTATAAATTTAATTACATATTGATACAGCAGCTATTTTGTGTAAAAATTTACTTTTCACTCTTTACAAATGCATAACTCAGAAGACAATGCTTTATAACTGAATGGTATTGTTAGTATTAAAAAAAAATATACACATTTGCAGGATTATTTGTAACTCAGTTTTGTATTGCAGTCCACCGTGACCCAGCAGGTGACAGTGACAGTGAGAGGGGAGAAAAAGGAAGGAGGAGCACAGAGGAGCAAGAACAACCGCGGAGATGAGACTATTGAAGGATGCCACTGGAAAGGGTTCRGGTGCCGCAGACTCACAAGTGTTATTTCAATCAGATGCAACCACACCAACCACAGTTTTACCCTCTAAAGCACTGGCTCAATGAGGATTTGGGTTAAGGTATTTATTAACAAAGAACAGTAACCAGTTTTTAACCAGTTACCATCCAGAATTAGCCTACAACCACTTATGCATCTGTAGTTACTATTAATTCTTAGCAGCTTGGAATCAACTGTCCTCTTTGAATTACAACCTTTGTTGCCAAGTTGGTAGAGATGCCTGTCAGTCCGTGACAACAGCAAGACATGTGTTTCTTTCATCCTATTTATTATTTCATGTACTATGTATTCCTCTCTAGCACTCCAATCCTACATGCCTCAAGAAAATACTTAGGATATTTTACCCAGGGCTCTGTTTCCCTTTAACTGTGGTCAGCGGTGCAGCTGTTCTGCCAGGAGCGGTTCAACTGCAGTTATTTGCCCTCCTCGCTCCATCTCCAAAAGCTCAGACACAAACAGCCTCTTCCCACATGCACTCTGTCTGAARGACATGTGCTTATCCAATTAGACTACTAAAAATACCCAAGCACTTACCTAATACTAACTTTTCCCTACACACAACTGCTGTAGTTGGCAAAAGACTGCAGAAAGCCACAAAGCAGCTGGCGRCCGGTGGCAAAGCGCTCGCTCGACGAGATGCCACCCATGAATGGAAATGCTGATAGCCCACATTCTGTAGCACTGCAGCACCAACCACAGCTTCGCATGTGTCATACATACAGCAGCCACTTATTCTATACCTGATATGTTTCAATAATGTGACCTTTCTCCTTTTGGGGTTCACTTATTACAGTTCTACAATACTGGTTGTATCCTGATATTAAAATCACCAAACTAAGTTTTAAGAAGCCATATTAGGAAAAGCATCAGAAAAAGGAAGAAGTCAAGCAGAACGGGACTTGACATAACTCTGCTAAATCATGAGCCAACACATCTGCCTCAGAAATACAGTTCCCAGGAWGAACACAAATATTTTCCTTCTAAGTTTTTTCTTTTCATCCCCCTCTTACTCTTTTTCCCTCTTACTGCAGCTTCATCTGAATTCAACAGGATCTATTATATATTTACGGAACTGAATTATCATGAAGCAACACACTAGCCAGTGCCAGCAGAAAAAGCAACATTTCAGCCCTGAAGAGCCTTCAGACACCTCTGTTTCACAAACAGGGTAAGAAAGTCTCTCCCTGTGCTTTGCCTCTCTTTCCCAACAGGAATATCAGGGTTGCTGCTCAATCGACTCAGCCTCTGGGCAGCTCCTCAATCCTGTTTCCAAGAATGATCTGAGTCTGGCAGAGCTCTCCGACCATTTCACTCTGGTTGCACGGCCTCCCTAAGCAACACCCTCCTTCCCCCTTCCATCCCACACAGTAAACATCTACGCTTAAAAAAATACAGGACATGCTTGCATACAATTTTAAATTCCTCAAAAACACTTTAAACAAACTACATCGTGGACTTCTTAACTSCAGACGCGTATCAAGTTCAAAGGCCGTAGGCAGTGAATTACTATTACAAGTTCCTGGAGCATCTGAAACATCCAGAAAACTCGGTAGAAAATGCTGAAGGCCGAGCAGGCGGGGGTGGCAGGGCAGCCTGTACCCGGGCGGCAGCGCGTTGCGTTTCGGAGCTAAAGATGTCGAGGGCTGCGAAACGCCCCTGTCTGGAGTTTGGTGTTGTTTTACCCAGGGGACTCCACTGAGTTTTACACAGCGCACAGTGATCACGGCCTCACCGGCTTTGCAGGCACAGAGCGCTCCGTGCCAGGCTCCCTAGGCAAACATGCTGAAACACACATTAAAAACAAACAAACCAAGGGACTTTCAGCACAGCAGGCACCTGCCGTGATGATCTGCGGGCTGTAACATGCGGTCTTAACAGGCTGACCAGATCCCTCCAACGCGATGTTGTCCATGCACTAGCGACACTGCTCCGCCGTACCAACGCAGCCCAAAGGCAACCTGTTTTTCTGCTCATCTTCCCTCGGGAAGGGAGCGTCTTTTGGAAGCCAAACGAACCCAGTGTTTCGGTGACSCTGGGGGAGCAGCCCCAGCGCCGCTTGCCTGCGGACACGCGTCTCCGTGAGGGGCATTAGCAAAAAACACAAGAGACACCACGGGCACACGCAGGCACACGGACCCACGGGCAGGCAGCGACAGGCGGTACGGCCCTGCTGCCCGTCCCGGGACGGACACGGTCTGGTTAAGGCGGTGAGAGCTCCTCCGGGCACARGGCCGGCCGGGCCGCTCGGAGGGACGCGGCAGCGCTGGGGAGGCCGCTGGAGCGCCGGCAGCGCGGGCAACGGCGGGGGCCTCAGCCCGGAGCCCGGAGCCCGGAGCCGCGCCGCAGGCCGCGCTGACACAGCACAACGGGCCCCGGGGCGGCGCG